GGCCGACACTTGGCCACGTTTACTCGTCGGCCGGGGTCGAGGCTGTACACACTGACCACTGCGTCGCCTCCAGTCACTGCATCCGGTCAGGTAGCTGCGTCGGGTCAGGTGTTTGTTGCAGCGTCCAGGTCTGGTCCTGAGTCTGCCCTCTTCTCGTGTCGCCTCCTGTCTCACGAGACTCTCCTCAAGCACCACCGCCTTGGTCACCCCTCCCTGCTTCGTCTCCAAGGCATGGCCTCCCGTGTCCTTGTCTCTGGTCTTCCCCGGTCCCTCCCTCCCCTTCCTCTTGGGCATGGCCCTACCTGCGTCCCCTGTGTCGAGGGGCGGCAGCGAGCTACCCCTCACTCCTCCCAGTTTCCTCCGACAGAGGCCCCGCTGCAGACGCTTCACATGGACGTGTGGGGCCCAGCCCGCGTCCGTGGACAGGGTCACGAGCGCTACTTCCTGCTGGTGGTTGACGACTACTTGCGTTACACCATAGTCTTCCCCTAGCGTAGCAAGGGTGATGTCACTGCGGTGTTGATCGACTGGATCCGCCCAGCTCGTCTCCAGCTCAGGCAGAGCTTCGGCTCGGACTTTCCTGTTCTGCGTCTGCACTCTGACAGAGGCGGAGAGTTCTCCTCTCGCCTTCTGCGAGCCTACTGTCGTGCATGAGGCATCCGCCAGACCTTCACGCTTCCGGACTCCCCACAGCAAAATGGGATTGCTGAGCACCGCATTGGCATGGTCATGGATGTCGCTCGTACGTCCTTGATGCATGCGGCTGCCCCCCATTTTCTGTGGCCGTTTGCGGTTCGGTACGCGGCGCATAAGATCAACCTTTACCCCAGGGTCTCCATGCCGGAGACATCCCCAGCTTTGCTGTGGACGGGGAAGGTTGGCGATGCGTCTGCGTTCCGTGTCTGGGGATCTCGGGCGTTTGTTTGCGACTTGTCTGCGGACAAGCTGTCCCCTCGTGCTTCTCCTTCCGTCTTCCTTGGCTTCCCCCCTGACGCGCCAGGGTGGCAGTTCTACCACCCCACCTCTCGCCGTGTTCTGTCCTCCCAGGACGTCACGTTTGACGAGTCGGTCCCCTACTATCGCCTCTTCCCCTACCGCACTCCGTCCCTCCCCCCGCCGCCGCTCTCCCTGGTACCAGGTCCCCACCCGGTAGACCCCCTACCTGCTCAGGGTCCTGCCCCTTCAGGTTTGACCCAGGTAGACGCAGTCGAGCCTGTCGAGGTTACTAGTGACTATGGTGCTGCTGACGGTGCTGAGCCTGGGGGTGCTGACTCTGGGAGTGCTGAGCCTGCGGGTGCTCCTATTGGGGTTGCTGAGCCTGGGGGTGCTGCGACTGGGGGTGCTGAGCCCGGGGGTGCTGCGATTGGGGGTGCTGAGCCTGGGGGTGCTGAGCCTGGGAGTGCTACGCCTGGAGGTGCTGAGCTTGGAGGTGCGGAGCCTGAGGGAGTTGGGCCTAATCGTGTGGCGTCTGGCGGTGCTGGGCCTGGAGGTTCTCCAGGTGTTTCGTCTCGACGGGGGCCCCTCTCTCCACAGGAGCTACGTGAGTGGTTAGCCCGGCGCGGGAGGCGTGCTGCTGGAGCTGGAGGTTCTCCAGCTGCTGAGGGTGCTGGTGCCGCGGGTCCCGGAGGTGCTCGTGCTGGGAGTACTGGAGCTGCTGGGTTTGCAGATGCGACTGGAGCTGGTGCTGCTGAGGGTGTTGGCGCAGAGGCTGCTGCTGTCGGTCCTGGAGGCGGACCTATTGGGGGTACTACTGGTGCTGCTGGAGGTATTGGAGCTGGAGGTGCTCCTGGCACTGGTGCTGCCGCTGGGGGTACTGTTGCTGTCTCTGCTGTGTCTGGAGTCGCCTCGCGGCCTCGGCCGTACTTCGTTCCGCTCCTTCAGCAGGTTCTTGGTCTCCCGTCTTCTACTGGTCCTCCTCCCTTAGAGTGTCCACAGCCTGTCCCGTCGCAGTTACAGTTACAGCTCGCCTCCCCACTGCCTGCTCCGTCTCCCTACACAGGTCCTACTCGAGGTCTTGCTGAGCGTCGTGAGCCTGCGTCTCGCCTTGCGTCGCCTGTCTGTGCTGCTCGCACTAGTGGTCGCAATTCGCGTCAGCATCCTCCTCCTGTCCCTGGCACGCACCGGATGTCTCTGCGTCCGTCCACTGCTCCTGTGCGTGCCCCTTTGCCTTCTCCTCCTGAGTCTTCTCTTCCTGCTCTTGCCGACCCGGAGTCGGACTCTCTTCGTGCTGCCAGTCCTACTGTCACGCGTCTACTTGCTACTGTCGTCACTGACCCTTCTTTTGAGTCCACTGCTGCGTCTGCCCTAGTTGCTGAGCTCGTCGACTTTGCTGCTCGCTGTCGTCTAGACTACGTTGCTAGTCTTGTCACTGAGTCTGAGTCTGTCTGTCCTCCATCCGTCGGGGGTGAGTGTGCCCTTGGCACGGACGTCCTTGAGGACAGGTAGGAGGAGTTCCAATGTCTGGCTGCTGCTTCACCTCATCTCGTGTCCGTACTGCTTACCCCTGAGGGAGACCCGGATGCACTTGACATCCCGACTCCGTGCTCTTACGCGGAGGCCATAGAGGGTCCATACTCCTCTCAGTGGCAGGCAGCTATGGATGCAGAGATGGCTTCTTGGAAGTCCACAGGCACCTACGTTGACGCGGTTCCCCCACTTGGGGCGAACATCGTCAGTGGCATGTGGATCTTCAGGGTGAAGTGGCCGCCAGGTTCTCCACCTGTCTTCAAGGCGCGGTACGTGGCTCGTGGCTTTAGTCAGCGGCAGGGAGTTGACTACTTTCAGACCTTCTCTCCCACCCCGAAGATGACCACTCTTTGGGTGCTGCTGCACATAGCCGCTCAGCGCGACTACGAGCTTCACTCTCTTGACTTCAGCACTGCTTTCTTGCAGGGTAGCCTGCACGAGGAGATCTGGCTGCGCCGTCCACCTGGCTTCACTCGGACTTTTCCTCCTAGCACCCAGTGGAGCCTCCGGCGGCCAGTCTACGATCTCCGCCAGGCACCGCGTGAGTGGCACGACACACTGAGGACTACGCTTGCGGCTCTTGGGTTTGCTCCCTCTACTGCCGACCCGTCGCTGTTTCTGCGCACCGACACCTCTTTGCCGCCGTTCTACATCCTCGTGTACGTCGACGACTTGTTCTTTGCCACTGCTGATACTGCTGGACTCGCCCACGTGAAGTCAGAGCTGCAGAAGAGACACACGTGCACAGACCTGGGTGAACTGCGCAGCTACCTTGGCTTGTAGATCACCTGGGACAGAGCACGCCGCACCATTACCCTGACTCAGTCACACATGGTGCAGGAGGTCCTTCAGCGCTTCGGCTTCACGTACTCCTCGCCTCAGGCCACTCCTCTGCCTACTCGCCACTCGCTCTCAGCTCTGCCTTCGGATGAGTCCGTAGAGTCGAGTGGCCCGTACCCAGAGCTTATTGGCTGCCTCATGTACCTGATGACCTGCACACGACCTGACCTTGCATACCCTCTTAGCATTCTTGCACGCTATGTTGCTTTTGGGAGACACAGACTGGAGCACATGGCTGCAGCGAAGAGGGTGTTGCGCTACTTGTGCAGTACGTCGGGCATGGGGCTAGTGCTTGGAGGGCAGAGTCCATTGGTCCTCACTGGGCACGCAGATGCTTCTTGGGCTCACGACCAGGCTACACAGCGGTCGTCACAGGTTTACACCTTCAGCCTTGGTTCCGGCTCTGTTTCGTGGCGGGCTACCCGCTCGTCTTCTGTTCTTGGCTCCAGTTGTGAGGCTGAGATCTACGTCGGGGCCATGGCTGCTCAGGAGCTTCGCTGGCTCACCTACCTGCTGACTGACCTCGGAGAGCCGCCTCGTTCTCCTCCAGTGCTGTACGTAGACAAGAAGGCCATGCTGGCCTTGTGTCGAGAGTAGAGACTGGAGCACAGAACGAAGCACATTTCTCTTCGCTACTTCCTTGCTCGTGAGCTGCAGCAGCGTGGTCAGCTGCGTCTTGCGTACGTGGTCTCTGAGGCCAACACTGCTGATATCTTCACCAAGGCACTTGCGCCTTGTGATCATCAGCGCTTCTGTACTCAGCTGGGTCTTGTGCCTGCCTTGCCTCACTTGCTCACCTCTTGACCTTACTTGTACTGTTACATATATATATACACCTGCTCTTGCTTGTCTAGCATTTTATATATATATATATACATATATATATATATATGTACTCCTGCATGTGAACTGGCCTTGTGGCCTTGACCTTGTGCTCGGAATGTGTGGTGACTTTGTGATCCACCCTGAGCTTGCTTTGCTTTGCTTTGCTTGACTGTTCTTGTGACCCCTTGTACTCCCCCACTTTGCCTATGGGGGTGTGTCAGAACATTATAGCTTATGCTTTTGTGTAGGCTGTAGTGGGGTAGCCCATATAGGGTACAACCCAATTAGGGTTAGCACTTGTACCCAACTCTTTCATAGTGCATTCATTCTCGTTTCAGTTTTCTCACTAATGTAGTAGCGGAAGCGTTTAATGAAGAGTTGTGAACCACCTTGCGCTAGTATGTGATTGGCAAAGTTGATTGGTTAAAACAAAGAGATACAAGATTATATAGGAGTACAGGGAATATGAAGAGATACAGTTATAAGTACTTTGCTGTTGCTGTTGCGGTTCGATATAGAGACGACTCGGCCAACTGCTATGTAACGAGTCAGTTGTGTGTCCTTGCTGTCGCGCTGTACTTTGTCAGGTCAAAAGTCGCTAACCTTTGACTTTCGCGTAACCTCTAGCAACTGCTCAACCTCCGAGGGTTGACTCGCCAGTGCTTCGATATGCTTTGCTTCGCTTCTGACTTGGTGTTTCGACACGACAGAGGCGCTTATAGTTAATTGTTTCCAACAACGCTCAAGGGTGACGTCTGCTACATTCTGTTGAGATATACTAGGCTAGAAACAGCAGCAGTGGTTGACATCTGGGAATTGCAATTGCCATTCAAAGTGGAGCAACGGCTAATTGGCGTTCCCAGATTGAAATGCTAGTTTGCAGCTGTCAACAGTCGCGCTCGTTCCCTCGTAATTGAGGCGACACATTCCCCCCTCCTCTATCCCGTCACCCCTAACCCTGCCTTTTGGCAACACATTCCCCCCTCCTCTATCCCGAACCCTTTATGCCTCCGTTTCAGTGCCCCCCTTTCCCTAGACGAAATTAGCAAGTCTCTGCTTTCACTATCACGTGGAAAAACCCCAGGTCCTGACGGTCTTCCCGGGGAGCTCTTCCGTCACTTCTCCCCGCGCTTTGCCCCTGCCTTCCACTCTCTTTTCTCACCAAAACAACCACTTTCCCGACTCCCTCCATTCATGCTGACTGGACAAACTGTCCTTATTCCCAAGAAGGGCGACTCTTCGCTAGTGGAAAACCTCAGCCCCATCACTCTCATGAATGCTGACTACAAGGTCCTCGCGTTGTGCCTCGCGAACTGCCTTCAGCTCGTTCTACCCCAGCTCATTCACCCATCCCAAACCGCCTTCATCAAACACAGAAGAATCGGGGACACCATTAACGATACCCTTGACATTATAGACTGGGCTGCATACTCCTCGTCCCCCCTCCTTGCTCTTACTGTAGATTTTCGCAAGGCCTACGATCTTGTCGACAGAACCTTTCTCTTCCAAGCCTTATCAGTCCTGGGGCTCCCCGCTCCTTTCATCCATTGGGTCCGCCTAATGCACTCCAACACATACACACGCATTTCGGTTAACAACATGCTCGGCCCCACCTTCCCCGTTTGCACTGGTGTCCGACAAGGCTGTCCTCTTGCACCCCTTCTCTTCGTCTGCGTCATCGAGATTTTTCACCGCTATATGTCCCTCTTCCTCCCTGCCTTCACTCTGTCTTCCACCCAACGTCGCCTTATGGCATGCTATGCGGACGATGTCACTCTCTTCCTCACCTCAGATACAGAGCTCGGACAAGCCATAGTGCTGCTCGGAGTTTTCGGATCTGTCTCCGGTGAGGTCCCTAACTGGAACAAGTGCTCCTTAATTCCTTCCAACATCCCTCCTGCCGACCTCGAGCACACCGGGAATATACCTATACGAGCTCCCAATGAGGCAGAACGCATCCTTGGAATCTATGTCGAACGAATCCACCCTGGCTCTACTATGTGGAACAAGGCTCTTGCCCGCATACTAAGCACCGCCAAATTCCTCGCAGCCTTACACGCAACAGTCACTTGTCGCAAATCCCTCTCCTCAATATTTGTGAACTCCATCATCTCCTTTCTCGGACGTTTCCATCCCACCCCGCTGGACACCATCAAACGTCTTGATATGGCAGTTGGGAACTTTCTATCGTCCTCCAAACACAAACAGGACGGCCTTGCACAACGCCTCATTTCCAAAGGTCTCCTTTATAACTCTCTCGGCGACGGAGGTGTCGGGGCGATTGCCCCTTCCGCTCAAGTCAAGGCCCTCGCTATCCAGCATGCCTTACGCAGATTCGGACCAACCCCCTCCGAGGCGGTTGCACGCACCTTGACCCCGTTCCCCTACGGGCTACACGGTCTGCTTTCCCACGTCGCCATTCTCGAAAGAGATTACCTCCCCACTTTCATCCCTCCTCGAGCGTTGGATGAGCTTAAAGCCCTCCTCTCACTTCCATTGGTCGTTTATGGCCCCCCTTTACGCATGCACAGCATCCTCGCCGAACCAATCGCCTTCAACCGAAAGATCCTCAAACCCGACAAACGGCCCTTTGGCACACACCACCACGAGCGCTTTCTCCTGACAGAGCAATTCCGCATCGAACACATTGTCCGGATCACCAACTTTCATGTCGGCCCTAAATCTGAAGCAGAATTCTGCTCTCTACTCCCAGAGGAGTTTCACTTAGACGCAACACGCACTCTCCCCGAACTTATCAAGGCTATTAAACCATCTTGGTGGGCTGCCCTTCGAACCCCTCACGCCTCTTCCGCTTCCCCAGGAGACAGGTTTATATTTTCAGAAGGTTTTCTCACTGCGGCCCACCTCGCCCTTCAAGTCGTTTCATTCGTTCCCCCCTCTGCTGTCTCTGCCAATGTCCACCTTGTCTCGCCAACCAAGCGCATCGCCCGAACTCCAACAGCCACCGGACTATTTCGCCTACAAGACCTTGTGGAGGTGCACGTCACCGGTTAGTGGCTCGCAGGGCCACTCCACAAGGGGCCTGGGCTTGGGGCTAGGGTAGAACTTCTGCAGCACAGTGTTCCCAGCATCGCTGACATCCGCCGTCTCCTCTACGCTGCACTACCGCTTAACCACCATCTCCGATGGACCCGTGATCTCATCTCTCCTCCTCCTCCTCTCCCCGATCTCAAGCACGCGTTCCTCAAAGACCAGCCGAGCCGCCAGCGGGACATCCTGTTCAGGCTTTACACGCTCACCCTCCCCTCTGGGTCACGCTTCCAGTACTTCGACGACAGGGGGATATGCCCCCGATGCCCAGCCATTGTCGTCGAGACTCTGCCGCATATCTTCTTTGAATGCTCATTCGCTGGCAACGTCATCTCTGCTCTATGCACTATTGCTGACCGCCACCTCGGACAATCTACGCTAGAACACCACATCTTTTTCCCGCTACTGTCACGGGTGGGTCAGTCCCCTCCGTGGAGCCTACTGGTGGGAGCGGCAGTTAGGACTCTGTGTCAGGCACGCTGTGACCACAGATATCACAACTCCTCATCTAGTTTTGAGATCCTGCAGCTGATACTAACTCAATTCCTCAGCGCCTTCAAGATTTATTTTTGGAGAAGCAGACGGCAATCTACCAAGAAGCGCCAACGCACATTTTCCAGTATCAAGCGAGCACAAAAGCTTCGCTTCCTCCTCTTTGACAGATGCGGCATACCATCTATTCACCCGGACCTTAGACGCTCATGGCTCCTAGGGAGCCCCTTCCAACCCCTGTAAATAGCCACTACATAGAGCGTCTCCCCAGGTTTCTGGTGGTTGTCCGTTCGGACAAGGAAATAACGTGTGATCCACGTGCTCCTTATAGGATGCTGGCCATCTTGGCCATGTTTCTAGATAGCTCTATGATTTGTACATGCTGTACACTGATTACAATCAATACATAACCTTAACCCTCGTAATTGAGGCGATCGTGTGTGAGATGACTGGTTCCTCCCATCCAATGTTGTGTTGTTACCAAACGCGGGATCTGTTACATCAACACCAATATTTATAGAAACAGAAACATTGTACACCATAAATTGGTGATTGTATGTTAGTGCATAATTATTGCGACTGTATGCGATTCCTAGAAACTTCTGATAATATACACTTATGAATTATTTGTCAGATATATATGACTTAGTCTTTGTAGGCTCTAGTGGGGTAGACACTAAGGGGGTACATGTTTCTAGGGTTTCATATTTGTATCCAACATTTTCCTAGTTCAATCATTCCTCATTCTTCACATGGTATAGAGCGGGTTCCCTAGTGGGACCGTTTCTTCCTAAGGGCCCACCTTCGATTTTTTTTTTAGCCTCCCCGAAGCGCGCTTCGCGTCCTGCCCTAAAATTTCGCGCCCCCTTAGTGGCCTGCCCCTTCACGGCCCCTTAGCGGCCCCTTCGCAGCCCCTTTAGCAGCCCCTTCGCGGCCCTCTTTCACGGCCCCGTCGCGGCCCCTTCACGGCCCCTTCGCGGCCCTGTCGCAACCCCTTCGCGGCCCCTTGCGGCCCCTCTTAAGGCCCTTCGCGGCCCCTTCGCGGCCCTTCGCGGCCCTTCGCGGCCCCCTCACGGCTCTTCGCGGCCCCTTCGCGACCCTTCGCGGCCCCCTCTCGGCCCTTTGCGGCCCCTTCTCGGCCCCTTGGCGGCGCTTTCGAGCCCCCCCCCCCCCCCCCCCCCCCCCCCCCCCCCCCCCCCCCCCCCCTCCCCCTTCGCGGCTCTTCGCGGCCCGCCGTAGCCGCCCTGCCGCCCTGTCGTCGCCGCTTCACCAGAAGCTGCCGTCATCCCTGCTGCCGCTGTAGCGGCTCTCCCGCCCCGTCGTCCCTGTTCCTGCAGTAGCGGCCGTCCCTGTAGTAGCTGCCGTCGCCGTCCCTGCCGCCAGAACAGCTGCCGGCCCTGCTGGTGTCGCGAGCAGCCGCCGCTGCTGCGGTCCCTGCTGCCCCGGCCCTGACCTGCAGCCGAGCCACGGCCCTACCCTGCTGCCCAGTTGCGGCCCCGACCCTGCCGGCGCACCTCGGCCTTGCCACTCCAGTCGCGGCCACCCTACCCACTCGCCACTGGTAAGCGCCGTGCCGAGCCGCGCCCCCTTTAGCTGAGTCGCGCTGCCGCTGCTGCTGCTAGCGTGCTGGTGCTGCTGTCATGGCTACCCCCAATGTGCTCACCTTTGATGCTGAGGGTCGGGCTGTGGACTTTGAGGTCTAGGTCGATGATCTGCAGCTTTTCCTGTAGTGCGATAGAAAAGACGGTCTCTCACTGTTCGGTCTCACGTCTGGCGCCTCTGCTGCCCCTACTGCCGATGCTGACAGTACTGTTCGCTCACAGTGGGCCACACGTGATGCTGCTGCCCGTCTTGCTGTACGTAGTTATCTGCCGTCCACTGAGCGCGCGCAATTCAGTCAGTACAAGAGTGCTCAGACCTTGTACGACGCTGTAGTTGCACGCTTCTCTTCCCCTGCCACTGCTGCCCTTAGTCGCCTCATGCTGCCGTACCGGTTCCCTGACCTCGCTGCCTTTCCCAAAGCCGCTGACCTCATTACGCACCTCCGCACTAGTGACACCCGCTACCGCGCTACGCTTCCTGCTGAGTTCTACGCCAAGAACCCCCCCCCCCCCCCCCCCCATGTACATCACCCTCTACTACCTAGTCACCCGGCTCCTTGAATCCCTTCGCTCGGTCAGGGACCACTTCCTCTCTGTTTGCCCCACCACACTCACCATTGACCTCCTCGAGGAGCGCCTCCTGGCAGCTGAGAAGAGTATAGTCGTTGTAGGAGCCTCTCGTGGTGACCCTCGTACCCCCTTCTTTGAGGGGTGCTCCCCCGTTCCCCTTTTGCCCTCTGTTGCCTCTACTGCTGCTGTCGACCTCGTTGGCACCGAGTCGGTCGGCGCTGCGAATGCCCCTAGCGGGAGACGCCGCAACGGCAAGGGCAAGGGGGGCAAAGGCGCTGGAGGAGCTGGCGGGGGCGGTGGTGGTGGCGGTGGAGGTGGCGGAGGGGGTGGGGGTGGCGGTGGGAGTGGTGGCGGGGGTGGGGGCTTAGGTGGCGGCCGTGGAGGCGGAGGCGGCGGTGGCGGTGGGAGCGGAGGAGGCGGCGGTGGCGACAGCGGCGGTGGAGCTAGTCGAGGTGGCTCTGTGCAGCGGGGAGGCTTCGGTGGTGGTCAGCGCCAGAAGCAGCAGCGCCCTCGTGAGACCCCGCCGCCCAGCAGCTTCGTGAGTGGTATGCTGCGCGTCAGCGGGGTGGGGGTGCTGGCCCCTATGCCTACGTCCTGCTTACCGGCGACCGCACAGGTGAGCTGTGCGGCGGCCCGCACGCCACCCAGCGCTGCTTCGGCCGCCTGACGGACGCCTGGCGTCTCCAGTTCCCTGACGCCACTGAGATCCCTCGCTGGGGCGAGCTGCTTAGGTCGGGGGTTGCTATCTTGGATCTTGATTATGATGCTATTTTTGCTGCCATGTATGTTTTGTCTACTAGTGACGAGGGTGATTGTTACTTGTGTGTGCCGCGTGACCCGGGCATTGAGGCTGCTTCTCTAGGTGCTAGTGAGTCTGCTGCTCTAGGTGCTAGTGCGTCTGCTGCCCCAGGTACAGGGGTTTAGGGTTCGGCTCGGACTTTCCTGTTCTGCGTCTGCACTCCGACAGAGGTGGAGAGTTTTTCTCCGACCTTCTGCGAGCCTTCTGTCGTGCAAGAGGCATCCGCCAGATGTTCACGCTTCCGGCCTCTCCACAGCAAAACGAGATTGCTGAGCGCCGCATTGGCATGGTCATGGACGTCGCTCGTACGTCCATGATCCATGCGGCTGCTCCCCATTTTCTATGGTCGTTCGCGGTTCAGTACGCGGCGCATCAGATCAACCTTCAACCCTGGGTCTCCTTGCCGGAGACCTCCCCTACTCTGCGGTGGAAGGGGAAGGTTGACGATGCGTCTGCGTTCCGTGTCTGGGGATCTTGAGCTTTCGTGCGCGACTTGTCTGCAAACAAGCTGTCCTCCAGTGCTGTTCCCTGCGTCTTTCTTGGCTTCCCCCCTGTCGCGCCTGGTTCGCAATTTTACCACCCCATCTCGCGCCGTGTTGTGTCCTCCCAGGACGTCACGTTTGACGAGTCGGTTCCTTACTACCGTCTCTTCCCCTACCGCACTGCACCACTCCCCCAGCCGCCGCTCTTCCTCGCGCCAGTCCCCCCCCCGGTAGACCACCTTCCCCCTCAGGGTCCTGCCCCCTCAGGTGTGTCCCAGGTAGATGCAGTCGAGCCTGTCGAGGTAGTTGTTGACTCTTGTGCTGCTAGGGGTGCTGAGCCTGCGGGTGCGGGGTCTGGGGGCCCGAGCGTGCGGAGCCTGGGGGTGCTGGGTCTGGGGGTGCTGAGCCTGGGGGTGCGGAGCCTGGGGTTGATGAGTCTGGGGGTGCTGAGCCTGAGGGTGCTAGGCCTGCTCGTGTGGAGTTTAGCGGTGATGTTCCTGGAGGTCCTTCTGGTGCTTCGTCCCGGCGGGAGCTACCCTCTCCAGAGAAGCTGCGCGAGTGGTTTGCTCGGCGGTGGAGCCATGCTGCCGGAGCTAGAGGTTCTACTGTTGTTGGGGGTGCTGTAGACATGGGTCCCGGAGGTGCTCGTACTGGAGGTACTAGAGCTGCTGGGCCTGGGGGTGCTCCTGGTGCTGGAGCTGCTGGCGGCGCAGGAGCTGGCGGTGCTGCTGGAGTGGGTGCTACTGGAGGTGCAGGAGCTGGAGCTGATGAGTCTTCCGGTGGTCCTGTTGGAGCTGTAGCGGAAGGAGGTGCTGGAGCTGGGGCTGCTGCTGGAGCCAATGCTCGTGTAGGTGCTGGCGTTCCTACTTCTGGAGCTTGTGGAGCTGCTGGAGTCGAAGCCGACCCTAAACCCTGGCAGTCCCAGTTACAGCCAGTCTCCCCACTGCCTGCTCCTTCTCCTTACACTAGTCCTACTGCAGGTCTTACTGAGCAACGTGAGCTTGCGTCTCATCCTGCGTCGCCTGTTCGTGCTGCTCGCAATGGTCGTCGTGTTCCGCGTCATCGTCCTCCTGCGGTCCCAGGCACGCACTAGATGGCACTACGTCCTTCCACTGCTCCACTGCGTGTCCCTTTGCCGTCTCCTCCAGAGTCCTCTCTTCCTCCGCTTGCTGACCCGGAGTCTGACTCCCTTCGTGCTGCCAGTCCTACTATCACGCGTCTCTTGGCTACTATTGTCACAGACCCTTCCTTTGAGTCCACTGCTGCGTTTGGCTTAGTTACTGAGCTTGTCGACTTCGCTGCTCACTGTCGTCTAGACTACGCTGCTAGTCTTGTTGCTGAGTCTGAGTCTGTTTGTCCTCCGTCCGTCGGGGGTGAGTGTGCTCTTAGCACGGACGTCCTTGAGGACAGGCAGGAGGAGTTCCAGTGTTTTGCTGCTGCTTTACCTCATCTCGTGTCCACGCTCATTGCCCCTGAGGGAGACCCGGATGCACCAGACATCCCGACTCCGCGCTCCTACGTAGTGGCGATAGAGGGTCCCTACTCCTCACAGTGGCAGTCAGCCATGGACGCAGAGATGGCTTCCTGGAAGTCCACGGGCACCTACGTTGACGAGGTTCCCCCACCTGGGGCGAACATCGTTAGTGGCATGTGGATTTTCAGGGTGAAGCGGCCGCCGGGTTCTCCGCCTGTCTTCAAGGCACGTTACATGGCTCGAGGCTTTAGTCAGCGGTAGGGAGTTGACTACTTCCAGACCTTCTCCCCCACCCGGAAGATGACCACTCTTCGGGTGCTGCTGCACATAGCCGCTTAGCGCGACTACGAGCTTCACTCTCTTGACTTCAGCACTGCTTTCCTACAAGGCAGCCTGCACGAGGAGATCTAGCTACGCCGCCCACCTGGCTTCACTGGGTCGTTTCCTCCTGGTTCCCAGTGGAGCGTCCGGCAGCCAGTCCACAGTCTCCGCTAGGCGCCCCGTGAGTGGCACAACACATTGAGGACTACACTTGCGGCCCTTGGGTTTGCTCCTTCTATTGCCGACCCGTCGCTGTTCCTACGCTCCGACACCTCTTTGCCGCCGTTCTACATCCTCGTGTACGTCGACGACTTGGTCTTTGCCACAGCTGACACTGCTGGACTCGCCCACGTGAAGTTCGAGCTGCAGAAGAGACACACGTGCACAGACCTGGCCGAACTGCGCAGCTACCTTGGCTTGCAGATCATCCGGGACAGAGCACGGCGCACCATTACCCTAACTCAGTCACACATGGTGCAGCAGGTCCTTCAGCGCTTCGACTTCAAGTACTCCTTGCCTCAGGCCACTCCTCTGTCTACTCGCCACTCGCTCTCAGCTCTGCCTTCGGATAATTCCGTAGAGCTGAGTGGCCCGTACCCAGAGCTTGTTGGCTGCCTCATGTACCTGATGACCTGCACTCGTCCTGACCTAGCACACCCTCTTAGCATCTTGGCACACTATGTTGCTCCTGGGAGACACCGACTAGAGCACATGGCTGCAGCGAAGAGGGTGGTGCGCTACTTGTGCAGTACGTCGGGCATGGGGCTCGTGCTTGGAGGGCGTAGTTCAGTGGTCCTCACTGGTCACGCAGACGCTTCTTAGGCTGACGACTTGGCTACGCAGCGGTCGTCACAGGGTTACACCTTCAGCCTTGGATCCGGCTCTGTTTCGTGGCGGTCTACCGGCTCGTCTTCTGTTCTCGGCTCCAGCTGTGAGGCCGAGATCTACGCAGGGGCCATGGCTGTACAGGAGTTACGCTGGCTCACCTACCTGCTGACCGACCTGGGAGAGCCACCTCGTTCTCCTCCAGTTCTGTACGTAGACAACAAGGCCATGCTGGCCTTGTGTCGAGAGCACAGACTGGAGCACAAACGAAGCACATAGCTCTTCGCTACTTCCTTGCTCGTGAGCTGCACCAGCGTGGTCAGCTGCGCCTTACTTACGTGGCCTCTGAGGCCAACATTGCTGATATCTTTACCAAGGCACTTCCGCCTTGTGATCATCAGCGCTTTTGTACGATGCTAGGTCTTGTGCCTACTTGGCCTCACTTGCTCATTTCTTGACCTTGCTTGTACTGTGATTTTCTATACCTGCACTTGCTTGTTTACCTTTATATATATATGATCCTGCATGTGAAATGGCCTTGTGGCCTTTGAACCGGTGCTCGGAATGTGTGGTGACGTTGTGATCCACCCTGAACTTGCTTTGCTTGACTAGTCTTGTGACCCCTAGTTCTCCCCCACTTTGCCTATGGGGGTGTGTCATATATATATGACTTAGTCTTTGTAGGCTCTAGTGGGGTAGACACTAAGGTGTACAGGTTTCTAGTGTTTCATATTTGTATCCAACATTTTCCTAGTTCAATCATTCCTCATTCTTCACATTATTATCGTCAGTACACGCAAATTATTTGCTAAAATAATTGGAATTCTTCAATTCATTTCTTGGCTTAAAATGCTGATTATAATGTTCGCAGTGGCATCCCCAATTACAGAACTGCTTATAATGCAGCTGGTGTAGCGATCACAAATTCTTGCTATTGATTGCTCATACAATAACATTATATTAGTCAAGAAACTATTATTAGGCAGGCACACCATCAGGGAAGAATTGCCTCTCAAACCCTTCAATCTCAATTTTTTTTGCCTTGCACATAGAAAACCCAGCAGGGTGAGAAGTGTCAAATTTATATGACATAGCTATTGTATGCTATAGTGGGGTAGCACATATGGGGTACGACTTTCTAGGGTTTGTTCTTGTACCCAACTTTCCCTTAGTCAATTCATTCTTGTTCATTTTCACATGGTATAGAGCAGGTTCCCCTGTGGGAACTGTTCCTAGGGCCCACCACCTTTTTTTTCCTGCCCGGAGCGCGCTCTACTCTGCCCGAGTCGCGCTCCCCTTCTTTTGCACCTGTCGCGCCGCCTTAGCGGCCCCGTCGCGTCGCACTTGCGGTCCCGTCACATCGCCCTCGCGGCCCCGTCACGTTGCGCCGCCCTAGCGGCCGCGTCGCGCCGCCCTCGCGGCCCCGTCGCGTCGCACTTGCGGTCCCGTCGCGTCGCCCTCGCGGCCCCGTCACGTTGCGCCGCCCTAGCGGCCGCGTCGCGCCGCCCTCGCGGCCCCGTCGCACCGCCCTCGCGGCCCGTTCGCGCCGCCCAAGCGGCCCTTTCGTGCCGCCCTCGCGGCCTCTTCAAGCCGCCCTCGCGACCCCCCCTCCTAGCCGCCCTAGCGGCCCCGTCGCCTACCTCTGCGGCCCCGGCCCCCCCCCCCCCCCCCCCTTTTCCGGCCCCGGCGCCGCCCTTCCCGGCCTCGGCGCCCCCTCTGCTGGCCCCGGCGCCTACCCTGCGGCCCCGGCGCCTACCCTGCGGCCCCGTCGCCTACCCTGCGGCCCCGGCGCCTACCCTGCGGCCCCGATGCCTACCCTGCGGCCCCGTCGCCTAACCTTGCGGCCCCGTCGCCTACCCTACGGCCCCGATGCCTACCCTACGGCCCCGGCGCCTACCCTGCGGCCCCGGCGCTACCCTTCCCGGCCCCGGCGCCGCCTCTACCGGCCCCGCCGCCGTCCCCACGCGGCCGCCAGCGCCGCCGAGCTGCTGCCGAGCCGCCCGAGCCACCCGAGCCGCCCGAG